TTTTTTTTTTTTTTTTAAGTCTTTCATGGATTTTGCTTTCGGTATTGCCCACGTGGGCTTTTATCCTGTATTCTGGTGTGATTTACTGAGTTTACAGTAAAGCGCTGGAGGGAAGCAAAGTAACAACTCGTGTGTGGGCCGCGCCCGGTGCGGGTGGGGAGGCCGCTGGGTGTGTTGGGGTCCAGAACCGGGGACGGCCCAGCGGCAGGTTCGGGGACGCTGCAGCGGTAACAGCAGGTGCACAGGCGGGGGTGGGCCAGCCCAGGACGGGGGCTCCTCACTGAACACCTCACGAGCAGTCGTGCCCTTGGAAACCTGGCGTAGACACCGATGATGCGTCTGCAGTGTTCATGAGTCTTCCCTCCTCTGTTCTCAGACACCCTCTCACCAGCTTCGAGTCCCTCGTCGGTCACTTATCCGGTGGCTCCAGGCAGTGCCGATGAACCTTCCAGCGTAGCCCTGAACATTGAATGTAGAATCTGTGGGGACAAAGCCTCAGGCTACCATTACGGAGTTCACGCGTGTGAAGGCTGCAAGGTACGGTGGAGGGGAAGGTCCCTGCTCCAGGGGCCGCGTGTGGTTCCTTTTACTTACTAACTTATTTAATTTATTTTGAGAGAGCGAGAGAGCAGGGGAGGGGCAGAGAGAAACAGAGACGGAGAATCCCAAGCAGGCTCCACGCTGTCAGTGCAGAGCCGGACGTGGGGCTCGAACTCACGAACCGTGAGAGCATGACGTGAGTCAAAATCAGGAGTCGGGCGCTTAACCAACTGGGCCACCCAGGCGCCCCTGGTTCCTTTTATGTTTTACACAGATTTTCGTCACTACTAAAAAGATCTGCCAGAAGGACAGAGATAAGAAACAGACCCACGTAAGAGATTAGCTTCTCCGTTCAGAGGGTCTGGGGCAGATTGCTGGACCGTACTCGTTAGCAAGTGGAAGAGACATGTTTGAAAGAAAAGAAACAGTAAGAGGGATCCCTTTATTTGAGGCCGGGGCCAGGGAGCCCACTCGCTCTTTCAGTCCTCAGCAGGCCGGGGGGGGGCAGTGGTCCTCACGGCCATCGGAGGTGGCCGGACGCCACATCGTGCCTTTACGACGATGTATGTGTTCTCAGCTCTGGGGTTTCGTGTACACGACAATCTCAGCGTCCGGTTACGGGCAGAAATCTCCTTCCCCTGCGCGCACGGAGACAGCTTACTGACTCCTGGAAGATGCCGCGGCCTTTACCGGTGCAGGTGCGACCTGCCTCCTTGAGACGCTGTCGCAGCACCCGAACCTGGGGCGGCCTTGGAGGCCTGCGTCGCAGGGAGAAAAAGGGCTGTGTGAGCGGGGCCGGCTCTGCCTCCCGACGACGGTTAGAATTCTGTCTTCAGCCCCCCGCCTGACCCTGTGCCTCCTCCGGCCATCCCGCTGCACAGACCCAGACGACCAACTGAGTGAAGGCACCAGCCTCCCCTCCGGTTCCCCAAGAAATTGCTGTCCCCCCTCCTGCGGGCCCCGGGACCAGCCCCATCAGAAAGACGTAGGAAGGCGTGGGAAGCAGAGAGAACAAGAACTGAAGCAAATACACAGACTCCTTCACAAGCCTTCTGACCACGTGCCTGTTGCAGGGTGGCCTCTTCTGCGGGGCCGCACCTACGTTCCTTTCGTTTCATTTTTTTTTTTTATGGGCTAAATAGTGACGTTTTCTCTTACTGGGGAGAGCTTAAGATGCTTCTGTAAAGCAAGACAACTGTTTACAAACAGTTGGCTCCCTTTTATTGTGGTCGGTGGGAATTGCTGTCTTGCAAGGAGTTAATACTCTCTTCCAAGATGCCTGGGAAGTGTTTAGTCCCCAGTAAGGGTGTGGGTGGGACAGGGAGGGGTGACGCTTGTCCGACCCGGAGCAGGGCCGAGTAGCCCTGGGAGACCTCACATGCGTCTCCCCAAACCAGGGGAGGACGTTCGGAAACCGCTTTGCACTTTGCCACGTTTTGTTGTGTTTCGTCTTAGGTGTAATGACATTTGCGATTCTCAGTTTGTCCCAATTATGTCAGACTTTTTAGAGCCGTTCTACTAACTCTAGTTCGTTTGCAAAGGACCATAAATGAGCAACAAGGAGCACGAGTAAGGCAGTGACCCCGACTTGGCCGCGGCCCACGGTCGCTGATCGACTGTGTCTCAACCCCTCAGGGCTTCTTCCGGAGAACGATCCGACTAAAGCTGGCGTATGACAAATGTGACCGTAGCTGCAAGATCCAGAAAAAGAATCGAAACAAGTGCCAATACTGTCGTTTCCACAAGTGCCTTTCGGCTGGGATGTCCCATAACGGTAGGTAAGGTTGTCTAGCGTGCCTTCCCAGCCCGCGCCTCAGCTTTCCTCCCCCGTTGGGTCGCAGCGCACCGTGTTTTCCATGAATGCCCTGCAAAGACAGTTAGGACCCAGGTCGTTCTGCAACCAGAGTAGCCTAAGAAAGCAAGAGTCTCACGTGGCTGAGCTTGCGCAGCGTGCCTGCGATTCCCGTTAGAAACTCCACACGGTAAGACCGGGGTCTGAGATTTCCGCTGGGATGCCAGAATGGTCACAGCGTCCGAATGAAGTGTGGGCCATTGTAGGCACCTTCCCACGCTGAATTCCATTATTCGGAATCATGCCGCGAGTTTAGAACGTGCCAGTGAGGACGTGAAGGTATAACCAGTTCCCAGCAGCGGCACGTGTCCCTTCTGGAAAAAGAAAAAGGGTGCCGGACGAACTCGTTCTAGCGGTCACTTCCGTCTCCTTGAACTAAGGGTCAGTTTTGGACCTGACGACAGTAAACAACCCCCAGCCGGTCCTGTTGCTGAAATGAGTAAATGGTGTGGCCTTTTCTTTTCACCTTTTTTTTTTTTTTTTTTTAAAGTCCAGGATTTATGAAGGTTGAGTTTTATCTTCCTTGCTCCAGAGCAGAACCTTGGCCGATATGGAGGGTGGGTTTTGACTACTGGATGAATCCTCGGCGCGAACTCTCTGCCCGGCGGTCGGTGGCTGTCACGGGCCGCCTTGCTCACTTCTGCTCGCTTCCTATTCCCGTTTTTCCCGCCCCCCAGCAATTCGTTTTGGACGGATGCCAAGGTCTGAAAAAGCAAAACTGAAAGCGGAAATTCTCACATGTGAACACGACCCAGAAGATGCTGAAACAGCGGATCTGAAATCCCTCGCCAAGAGAATTTACGAGGCCTACCTCAAGAACTTCAACATGAACAAGGTCAAGGCCCGGGTCATCCTGGCGGGGAAAGCCAACAACAACCCGGTAGGTGTCCCCGCGGCTGTTTGCCATCCAGCCTGAAGTGTCCCCCTGGCGACCCGTCAGCTAGAGTCCCACGGAGGGGCTGAGGAAACAGGTGTTAGATGTTGGGAGAGTGGTGTCACCCCCAAGGCGAACGAGAGGCCACGGATGGAGGCATCCAGAGACTAAGGGGCAGCTTAACAGCAACTCCTGGGTTCTCTGCGTCTCAGAGCTCCTGGCAACCAAGTTATTACAATGACTGTGTGATTAATACACACACATGCGCGCGCACACACACACACACAC